TGATAAGCGACAGCAAACAAATTCATTTAACATTATTTTTTTCAATCAAAATGAGACTGTTACTCTATTTGTGATCGTTTACAGTACATAGACGCAAACTTTTCTATTTAATCAACTTAGATTTGTCATCAACATCGCTATGTCCATCTTAATAATATGAGAAGATAAAATAAATGTTTAGAGTGTGAGAAATTCTTTGAATATTCATGGTGCTTTATTTTTTTTAATTTCGCACTTATTTTCAGTCATCGCAATGAGATGCGATGGAAAAAAATTTAATTTCGTTTTCATAATCACATTTTTCTAGCTATTAATTTTCCATCGCTTCACAATTTTTTTTTCATTCGTATTATACTTAATCAGGGTCATGGGTAGGGGGGCTTATATGGAGGGAAGTTTTTAATGATGTAAATCAAATAGAGACTCCCCTGGATACACCCCAGTGCCTTACTCTCAACAAAATGAAAAAGGAAGAGAAAAAAAAAGTAAGTAAGTGTGTACGTTGTCGCATCCGTACGTAGTTGATAAGATAAATTGTATAAAAGTGAAATGAAAATAAGAAGAAAAAGAAGAAGTAAGGCACAAGTCGAGAAGAAAAAATTAATTACATTCAGTGTTTGTTAGATGGAAGAACTTTTATTGCGATCTTTTAATGACATTCATTGTTGGGATAATCATTTCGTTTCATTTCTAATGCTGGAAAATGTTGCTATTTGGGTCGACGTTCAATGCGAACGAACCTAATTTGACTTCCAACAACCAACATAAGATTTAATGACATTTCAGTCCAAATATTAGTTTAGAGAATGAAAACTTTTTTTTTGTCGATGCTTGAGCTCAATTTGAGTTTGTGGAACAGGAAAATTCGGTAAGGAACTATCGATAATGGATGGATATGACGCATTTTTGGGTTCTTAGTGTAAATTGTAATTGATAAAAGCTGATTTGAATGGAATTGAGATCTTTAAGTTTCAACAATGTTTCTAGGTCATTCCTACTTCGTACAGGACTTTGACACCGCGTTGACTATTAGGCTGTCGCTATTTATGTAAAATTCCTAACTTGTTTGACCTGATCAACTCCCAGACATCCAATTGAACACAATATCCCCAAAAAATCATAAGAATCACAAGTCAGACACCTTACAAGCATTCCCAAAACCCCTCACACAAAAATATCACCTCAACAGAAATTTGTTCTCACTTTCGCTATCATTACAGTCTTAAATCAAGAATTTCAAACAAACAGAACGAGCATAAAATGAGATAGAAAAATGAAAGCCCATTAAAAGCGCCTCTCCCGTTCCATCAAAATCATTTTCACAGCAAATAAAAAATGGTTGAATGCTGATTTTTCATTATTTTTACTTCCTTTCCATTTACTGCTTGTCTTTCACTTTTTTTTTGTGTGTTCATCAACCAGAATGAAAATTTTTCACGTCTCTTTTATTTGAATTTTTCTTACACGAGGCAGTTCGCGACTTACTTTTGCCTATTCTCATTTTGTAATAATAAATTTTCTTAATTAAGGAAATTCGCGTAAATTCGTAACGAAATGAGAAGTGTCATGAGTTCGAAGAAAAAGAATTGCCTCTACTGACGCACAATTTATGTCCCAATTTAAAGAGATGTGCAAGCTCAAAACTCGATTGTCATGCTTGGTCTAAAATCAGTTAATCGCATGAGTGATATTTGAAATGGGATTTTTTTTCCTTTCGTTCCTTGTGATTTTTCTCACCCCAATGTTGTATAGATGATGGAAATTATTTGACTTTACTTTGCTAGTTAGCAGCATAAGAAATTCTTTTCTCATTCCTTAATTTCAACTTTTCTTTTAGATTTATTAGATTACTATTTGCAGGTCGTTTCACGCAAAGGTAATTTTTTAATTTCTTCTTTTTCCTTCTCGTGCTGAGGAAGTGGAAACAAAGTTCTTTGGCACTTGAGAAACCACTTAAAGTTGAGGCAGTGAATTTTATTTTTTTTAAGTGAAAATTATTTTTCTTGGAAATTTTTTCTCTCTTTTCGTTTCCCTTCGCTGAATTTTTCTTGGCTGCAATTTCTCTTGCTGTATGGAGTGTTTAAGTATATTTTTGTGACTATATGAAACAGATGTTTTTATGTGCCATAGCTATTCAATTGACATTCGACAAGGTGGTGAATGTAATTTCCACAGAAATGAAAAATACAAAATGTATAAAAAGAAAATCTAAAAGCTAATGTCGATTTCGATAAAACACGGTTTTAACTGTCATATCCAGAGATGGTGCTGGGGTATAACACGGAGTCTATTAATTGAAATGTGTTAAGAATTTGAAGATGTCCAAAACTCTTCAAAATTGTTTGAATAAAACTTGCAAAAAGATTCCAATAAGACTTAACATTTTACAGCTGTCAGCATGCTCCAAACATCAACAGCTGATTCAAGCTCAGGTAACAACCCTGATCCTCCCGATAATATCAGCTAAAAATAATCTCTTTGTTACCTCACACACACATTTCGAATATTAAATTATTTTAATCAGAACTATCAAATCAGTTCATGATAACTTTTTCGTTACTCAATCGTCGTCGAGCTGTTGCAACAATGACAAGGTGTTAAATATTACAAACAATACAATCTCAAACCATTGAATTCAATTTCGACTTCCCCTACGATTGCATTATGAGAATATTGTTAGTAATTTGTTGATATTTACACAAAAAGCAATTTTTTCTTCGATTCTATTTTAGTGACTGCTGCATGCATTGTACGGACGAATTATGTAAGAAAAAAAATTAAGAATTATAAAGGAAGAAGATGTCTATTGTTTGAGTCTCACAATGAAGACCAAGAAAGTATAACTTAAGGATGCTTTGTGATGCATCTGAAAGTAAGCAGTTGCATGCTCAATGATTTATGGACAATATTTTAAAATAAATAATAGTTTGCAGTTTTGTTGGATAGATTAAACGATCAAAAGGTTCATTCCCAGAGAGGCTTGTGAAAAAAATTAATTAAGTACAAGATAGACATGAGTAGGCAAGACATCCACAAACAAAAATTTAAATTCTAATCGTTTCTGAGAATGAAGAAACAAAAAAAATCAGGAAATAAAACTCATATCCTTATTTGTTTGATAATCCCGCTGTTGCAGTTCATAAAAAAATATTTCCAACTTCTTTAATCGACACCATGTGCTGCACAGAATGAAAACAACAGAAGAAGAAGAAAACTTTTTTTAATACATAAGACACATTTCGATATCATCATCATCACACAAGATGTTCAAATCTGAAGTAAAAATTATTACTTAACTTGAGACTGTTATGAAGTGTCTTATGCCATAGATACTCGGAAATCTACGGATTTCCATATAAACAATTCATAATGAAGAAGCAATTAGTGTGGAATATCTATCCATATATCCTTAATATAGTCTGTTAAAAAAAACTTGATCGATCGACTGCTAGACACATAAAGAATTCAAAGTATTTCTCGTCAATGTCTTCGTCTTCTACCAAAGTCATTATATACACATCTAGTCGGATTGAAAAGGAACAAAAAAAAAGTGAAAACATCAAGGCACACAAAAAAATATATAAGTTATGTTCCACAATTCACATCTGTTCTTAAAAACTGCCAGCCATCCACATAGCATAACAGACAACCCCGCCATATTTCCAATGTCTTTAATAGTATTGTAGTATTTTTAACGTAAAAAAAACTGAACATGTAAAGGCATTGCATTTGCCTACCATGCCTCATATGTGAGTTTGTTACACATCGACTGTGAAGATGAAAGACGATTATGAAGGAAGAGATGACGATGGAAAAGAAATGCATTACAACTGTTTCAAAAATCAGAAGGAAAAGGACTTTAAATGAGAGAAATAGAATTGATCCGTAGCATGCACTCGATGGAGAAACAAAAAAATCTCGAAATTAAACACATCTGACGCTGCTGTTATCTCTGAACACATGACATATTGAAGGCGTGCGTTCTCATTAAAGTCTGGATTCATTAAAATAAATCTTGATATGATTTTTTTTTTTGAAGATCAACTTTGAATGGAAATTGCGAAATGTTCTTCATGTGTCTATCACTTTAATGGAAGTTAGGGATGCAGGCATGAATGTATTTAGGTATCTAATGATCTTTTAAGACTGAGAAGGTTCAGAAAAAAATTAAAAATCTATTTTAATTGGTTGTGACCCCAAAGCTCCTCAATTACACGCTTTTTACTAGTTCAAGGAGGTTCTATGAAGATTTAAGGTGCATAATTGACTCAAGCGACGTAAAGGAGCTTTAACATGTCCTGACTACACCCCCCATCACTAGTTCATTGTGTATGCTACATCCACTATCATGTTTATTCTCCCTTCAAACCTTTGATTACTTACTAAACAAGAAGAAAAACAAAAAAAAAAAAATAATAGACGAAAAGAAATTGAAATTTTTTCGCAATAGGAAATGGAAAAAAAGTGTGATTCCTTCCCCTTTTTTTTTTTGCTCAACTTATTTGCACTACGTGCGTTTCGTCGTCTCAATGTTTGTGGCAGCAACCTGTCAATTGTGTCAATAACTATACTAACTGTGTACTGTATGCATAAATATATATGGAAGTAGAATATTGGATGGGGTGAACTATCGTGTATGAAAATGAAACATTGTGATGCAAACAATCGAATCAAAGTTTCTTCTTATCTTCTTCTTCCTCATTTTCATGAATGAATATGAAAATTGTTTGTTATGTTAAATAATGTATTTTGCGATGTGCTCGCTTATCAGTTATTCTCAATTTTTTTTGCTTTTGTTTACCATATGAAAGGTGTTCGTGACACCTTGAAGAATTTTTTTCTGCCTTTTTGCTTCCGCATTTCATGCGATATAGAATTTATGTCCTCATACGGAAGAGAATTTTTTTGATTGCAAATATGCTTTATCGGAATAGCGCGTGGTAAAGAAGACTCTTCGAATTTTAGGGGGGTTAAATAATTTGACTAGGGGGGAAACTCACCTTCTTTTCTGTTAATTTCTCACAGCGACGCAGCTTGCAAATTTGGTGACTTTTATCATTGCGACATGGAGCACATTCTCCACAATTGTCTTTCTTTTGACATCCGGTGCATTCACCACAGCGCTTTCTCTTCTTTTGTTTCTGTTTTGGAGATAATAATAAAATATTTTAAGAATTTTTTTCCAGCAGCTTGATTTGTTGTCAATCTTACCTGCTTCTCTCCAGTGCTCATATGATCGTTGCTATTATCCATGCCTGGATGCATTGGTGATTTAAAATTATCTGTACTAGAGACGGCAGCAACTTGTGGATTTCCATTTGCTCCATCAATATCCATCGCACTGCTTGCATCCGACTCAGTGCTGGACTCTAACGATCCCGCCCGAATTTTTCGTCTCTCTTTCTTCCGCGTCTCTTTTGCATGTGGTGTATTTCCATTTCCATTCATATTAATTTTATTGCTTGTCTTTGGCGTTCCAATAACATTACTTGTATCCATATAACTATTATTACTTGTATCCATTAACGATGCATTTTGGAATGACGAATTGTGATGATGCAGTCCATTTTTGAGATCATAATTGACAGATTCATTTTTCAATACTGTTACGACACCAGATTGTAAAGGTTGAGGTGGTGCTGGATGATGGAATGTTGCTGTTGTCGTTATCGGTTGATATAATTGAATGTGACGCTCATCAATGTATTGTTGCTGAATTGTTGGAATGTCGCGTGCTTGAATGGGTGCAGGAACTAATGGATAACCACGTGGTGTATTTACATTAACAGCTGTCAACGTATGATGGAAATTTGTATGAGGCAATGATCCCAATGGCGGTTGTAAAGGTGTGAGCGGGGTTGTCGTTAACTGTGTTAATTGTGTCAATGCTCCATTCGATGGTGATGCAGACGATGGAGAAATTGGAACTGGAACAGCTGTCACCTGAGCTGGTAGACTTGGTTCCGGTACCAATACGTTATCAGCGAATGAATGAAATTGACTTTGGAATGAAGGCAGTTTTGGAAACGGCTCAAATCCACGTTGATGAATTTGTGCTTGTTGCTGTTGTTGTTGCTGTTGATGTTCCTTACTCTCCATTTCCCATGGCCTCGTATAACTATTTGATGATGATGATAAATCATTAACTGGATGTGCCACAACAGATCTATCATAATATTCCCACGTTGCTTCCAAATCTGCTGATTGAAATGTTGTAAATTGAGGTAAACCGCTTTCTGACGGATCATCCGATGTAGTGGATGCCGTCTGCGGTGCGGCAGCACTCATCATTTTTGTTGCTTAATTCTATCCTTTTGCTTCTTTGTTAATATCTTTTTTTATGAATTATATTCCATCCAAAATATGCTACATGTTTTAATTACCATAAAAAAAAATGCTTTAATATTTTTTCAGTTTCAACAGTTATTGCGCGATAAAAATTTTCTGATAAATATTTTGACTCTTGTTGTATTTCTTTGAGGTAGCAAAAATATTCGTTAAATGTTGTCAGCTCTCGTTTCACTACAGTTAAAATTTGAACACTTTTTTTTAATATTATTTGAAATATATTAAAATTCTTTTTTTGTTGTATGTCTCCTGATAAAAATTTTCACGTATTATTTTTTTAGCATAAAATATACATTGAATTAAAAAATTTTTTTGGTATACAATCTGGCTCTCTTAAAAGTTTTTGCTTCCACTTTCGTATTATTATTAAAAATATTCAAATCTTTTTTAACTTTTTTTTCGTAAAATAAAAAAACTTTCTTTCAGAAAATTTCTTTTGGTAACTTCCATACACGAATTAAATTTGTATAACTGAAGAATGTTTCTCGATGGGCACGGTACGGTTGTTGATTGAAATTTGTGATTTAAATTTAATAATTTGTACTTTTTTTTATCTTGTCGGTCACTTTTATTTCCCTCACTTTTATATTTTTTTTGGTTTATGCTGATTGATTGCGTTTTGTTGCTTCGAAATTTGCTTCTTCTTATTGTCTTTCCTTTTAAAACTTTTGAATTTTTTTTTTTTTGGTATATTTTGCTTTTAGTACTCTCACTGCTTACAAATTTGGTACGCTTCAGACTTTTTTTTGTACTTTTACAAATTTTATTTTAATTTGGAATTTTAATTTTAGAAACTAGACCGTTTTTTGTTTAAATAAATTAAATAAATTAGGTGCGAAATAAATTAATTATTACTAGATTTCACTCGTCTTCTTATAAATCTCCTTGTTTGAAGGATATCTTTGTTTAAGAACAAATTAGACTTTGGTTATAGTTACGAAGTAGAATCAAAAAGCAAAAATCTGAAATGAAATAAAGAAGAAGAAAAAAAAATGTAAATTTTTTTGTGAGTCTACATAAGCTAACTACATGAATAGATAAATTAGCATCTGCTGGCTGCTTAAAATGGCTTCATATTATGTGGTTGTTGTGGTAGCACAATAAACATTTTTATTTTCTATGTTGATTAACAATTCAGCTTTAAATGGATTTTTATGGCATCGATAACGAATTTTTTTTTCAGTCAAGCAAGCAAGCAGAGGAAAGACAACTGCTAGAAATTTAATTCGCATAAGGAACATTTTTTAACATGTCTATGGATTCATTAAAAGCAGCAAAGAATTTTTTTAATTCAATTTCAAGTCAAACTCAATGCCATGAGTCATCTCCTATGCCTCACTCTATCCTCTAAAAATTTAATTTTCGTCAAGTGAAAACTGAAAAATGCATTAACATTTAAAGTTATGACACGACAATGTATGTATGTGAGGAATATAAACGATTTAACCCTCAACAACATCAGTTCTTCCCTTACTCAAAAAAATAAAAAAATATTCTAACAAACCATTTTCAATTTTTATGCAAATTCCACACATAGCAAATCTCTCGTCTTCCACTTATGTATATTATGTGCGAATGAACGTATGTAATAGAAAAGTAAGAGACAGAACAGCGAAAATATTATAATTTTTTTTTCTTCTCGAAAGTGAAATTACTAGTGAATTACTCCTTTTCTTCACACTTGTCTTCACGCCAAAATTGAATATTTGCATGGGAAAAAATACACTTTTTTGTATGTGCCGCTATAGAGTTGAGGTAAATCCATTTTTTTCCATTTCATCGTACATATATTTTTTGCTGTATATAATGTGAAAAATCTAAATATTTTAAGTTTGTTGTGTGAATGGTAAGGGGAGGCGTGATTGGCAATTTGGCTGGCTGGGTTTGGAAATTTGGCTAGATATGGAAGCTATAGACTTCAAACTTTACTAGGCTACTAATAGTTCTCAAATAAAACCTTGTGTTTGCAGAGTAAGTATCATACAATGATGCTAGATAATTCTGCACTTTTGAATCGAAGCTCTCAAGCAGTAATCAGGAATAAGGTTTGATTCAGACTTAAAGAAGACTTTTGATCAAGAAGTAAGGAAGTTTTTAATTATTAATCACTGCCTCGAAAAGAACAAAGGCAGAGAACCAACATGCAACCAAAAAAGTATTGCTCCAGCTTCATTTTCTCAGCATGAAAGCGTTTTCTCAGGCTTATTGCTAGATTATCAACCTCCAAGCCCAATTCTCTTTATGATAGCAATGCGCTCATCCAAGATTACAACTTAAAAAAATCCAAACTCATCTCTCTTTTTTGCTTCCTCATCTCCTTCTATTTCTGTTGCGTTAAACGATTTTCTCGAGCTGCGACAGAGACTTTTTTTGCTATGAATTTGAAAAGGAGCAGAAAAAGTGATGACGATGAGGAGTGAATTCGTACGAAGGAGCAGTAGTAAGAAAATTTGATTTCATCGTTGTGATTTCAAGTCGTTGAGCAGCTTCAATTTTCACTTTCACTCGACAACAATGAGATTGTCACATTACACACAATTTTCTAAGCGATGATGATAAAGGAAAAAAAAAGTGAAAATTCGCAAACGAAATTCGTGTCGTGAATAAATTTTTTTTGTTGCCATCATCTTCTCATCTTTTGACGACGAAAAACTTTCTTTTCTCATTCTACTTCTTTTATTCATTCAGTTTAGACAGAATATTAAAAAATTCTTCATATTTTCTCACTGCCATTGACTTTGTAATTGTATTTTTTTGTCGACTCGACTTTAGGCTCATCTTTCTTCATTTCCAACCAACAACAATATCTCTTCCTTCATCTCACTTACTTTACTTGCTTCCTTCTTATTGCTCATTTTTCTGACAAGATGCTAAACGCGCGAAAATGTGAGCAGCACACAGAAAATTGGAAAAAAATGATTTGGTAAGCAAATGAAATTGAGATTTAGATTTTCAGCAGATTTGCTAGCATAAAGAGATTGAAATCAATAAAAGAGCATCTTATAAAGACTTTTGAAAATCTTCTTAAGTCATCTAGCCTATAAATTTTGAAAGGATAAAGGCATCATCATTATTTCTCATATTTATTTATCCACCTGAAAAGAGCACAGGATAGCAAGAAGAATTGTCATAAATCTACATAACATATCATATCTTAGAAGATTTGCTCAGCGAAAAGGCGCAAAAACCCATTTCTAAGGAAGTGAAAAACAAGTGAAAACAGCATGGAAAATTCCTTTCCTTTTTTTGAGGATATAAATCATTTGGATATTATTCCTGCAATTGCTTTGTCAAAAGTTAAAAGATTTTTGGGGGTCTAGTGTCTAGAATCTATGAAATTTGAGTTTGGAACCTCGATTTTTGACATAGAACTGAGAAATTCAATGTTTTTTATATAAAAATGTGGTAGAAATCAAATTACATCTGTTGCCTAACCATTTGAGTCCAGTGATGGTCAACCAGTGTGTCACGGCACACTAGTGAATAATAGAAGATGCTCAGGAGGGTCACAAAATTTTATATGCAATTCTAAATGTGCAGAAACTACAAATAGATTAGCCAATACTGCATTAAACTACTGAGCTTGTTCTCTTGCACAGGCAGACGCATTTTTATACCGCTGATGCCTAGGAACACACCAGCCCCTTTTAACAGCATAAAGTCACAATTTCCATAAATCCTGAATGCATCACAAAGAGAAGCCCTACATGCTATCAACTAAACAGCAAACAAAAGTCGTATTTTACATCTTATATGCATAAAACTTTTCGACACAATAATATTCAATAAGTAAGTAAGTTGAAATGTTTTTTTCATTTTTTCTTTCCTTCATGCTGCTGCTAATGTAAACTTATTTAAGAATGCATGAAATGCTGTTTATTTAACAAAGAAAAGGAAAAATGTCAACATTTTTCAATCGACAGTATATTCAATGTGCTCACATCCTACATACTCTTCTTTTTCAATTATCATTTGAAGCTATAGAGCCGAGAAAAACTTTTCATTTTACAAAAGATGCGTAGATTTCTAAAGCTATGAAAAGTTTTTCTATTTTATTCAAAAAAAAAAATATGTGTACGAAGGAGAAGGAGGAAGTAATGTGGAGCTGTGTAGCCCATTGAACTCAATTCTAACGTTCTTCATAATAGTCATCAACATCGTTGAAGCACAGGATTGCTGAAAGAAATGAAGACAAAAGGTGCGTAAAGAAACTATGCGTGGATGCGTGAGATACTCTTGATGATGATGATGATGAAAATGTAGAGTAGTGTCACGGAATATGGAATATGAAAGAATTGTCATCGTCGTTAAAATTGCGTTTTTCCTTGCCATTCACGTTCGTGCAATAGAAAATCTCAAGCATACACAATTCTCATCTACATATTCGACGACATCATTATGCATTACGACAACGAATGCTTTTTAAGTGCTTTACAACCAGAAGTGAAAAGCAATTGCTCTGAATTGCCAGTAATTTCCATACTTCTCTATTCTACTCAACACTTTTTTCTTGTATGTCATTCCGTCACATAATGCGTACGAAGGGAAATATTGAACAATAAGCACGCAAGATAAAGTATTTGAAGATTTGACATAATTTCTATCTGTTCTAAAGCCTCTATGAGATGCTATCCTGGAGAAACTTAGCCCAATCTGCACACGTTGAGATGCTGTCTGTATGATGGTTAAATTGGTAATTTACTTAGACATTTACAAGGAGCTGCCTATATCAAATTGTTGCAATTCAGTTCTAAGTATACTTTCTAGTTGTCCAATGCCTAGACAACATTTCAATATGTGCAGATCGGGCAGGAAGCAACACAAAAGCCAACGCACTGAAAATTTATATTTTTTCACTTAAAAAAAGTGAAAATAAAAGAAAAACTCGCAGAAATATAATGACTTTCTTATCCCTTTCCCATTCAGTTTCCATTCTTCAGCATTCACAACAAGAACTGAATATAAGCCTTGACAAGAGATTTGCCTTTCTTTTATTCGTTCATGTTCATCTCCTACCGTTTCAATGTTAATGGAAGAAGAAAAAGCAAAAAAAAAATTATTTTCATGAAAATGGAAGAAAAAGGAAAATTTCGCGAATTCACATATATGTAAATTGAATGGAAAATCATGGTGAAAAGTTACGAAAAGAAACGAGATGGAAATTGTCTACTTGACATATTTTAATAACTTCTTTGCTTTCACTTTTTTTTTATTCCTTTTTTCCTGTATTGTATGTGAAGAGATTTCATTCTTTTTTCTTCGTTTCGCGCAAAATTTAAGCCGCGATTTACGAAATCCTTTCTTTTGGATTTTTAAAAATGGAATTTCTAAAAAAAAAATGAAATTTTTGTATTAAAAAGTTTAATAAGAAAATCGAATTTCTTTTGTTTCTTTCGGGGAGGAAGGCTTGATGTGGGATGCAATAAATTTGAAGATTTAATTGCTAAAGCTTGGATTTGAATGTCTGAGTTGGAAAACTAACTTGAGATTTTGAATTTTGATTGAATTTGTTTGGATGTAAATTTAAAGATGATTGTAAATAAACTATAGATCAGCAGTTCTGTTTCATAGACTGTTAATATTGAGCAACAACTAAAATTTCTAAATCCAGTTCATTAAGATCCAGATCAAATCAAAACAATCATCCAAAAACATTAAACTCTATAAAATCACAGCTAGATGACTCAAAATCATGAAAAAGAACCTCACAAGCTGAGGAGAAATAATTGAACATACCAAAAAAAAAAATCCCAAATATCTGCAATCTTACTAAATCAAACCCAATTGATTGAATAAATCTCATTGCACCAGCAAAAAAAACGAACAGAAATAAAATTTATCAAGCAAGAAAATAAATTTTATCGCTATGAAATCATCACGAAAACAAGCCATGGAATAAGGTAAGGACACACAAAGTAAGAGCAAAAATCGTCATGAAAAGCATAAAACGTCAAAACTTTTT